ATCTCGAACTCGGTCCTAGAGTCGGTCTTGGACTCGAACATCTTTGACTTGGTCCCATCCGATGAACTCTTTGTCATTTTGGTCATGCTTTCGGGGTTCCTTTAGCGTACGACACCTCGGCGAGTTGGTTCCTTACAAGGGGGTTCCAAAAGTATAGTAGGGATAGTGAGGTCCAGGAACCAGTTTAGAAGGGACTCTCCAGTGGGGCTCCCAAACTGACTTGAGGTTGGGACTGGGACCGAGGGGCCTTGGGTGGGAGTGAGCATGGGCTTGGGTGGTGCCGGAGGGGCCACCCAGGGAAGTGTTCAAGAGCAGCTCCCACTCCCGAAAGGGAAACCGACTGCGGTGCTCCCGGCTCATGTGGAGTGGTGCCCCACTTGAGTACCTTGCGGCTCATTGGTCCTCGCCCTTCCTAGGGGCTTGGGCCTTCCCTTCAGGATGGAAGTGGGGGGGTAGAGGTACCCATACCGGGCCGTTAGGCCACGGTGTTTCGCCCCGATGTCCCGAAGCAAGTGCTGCACCCAAGGCTTGGGATTTAGAGGGTCCCATGATCAAGTCTTGTTGTACCAAGGGGTGTTAGGAACTTAGAGGCTTAGTGTGCTTGGCTGCTTGTGCTTGTGGGGAGTGTAGCCGAACCTTAAGTCCAGTCTAACCCGGGGAGGGGGATTGGGAGAGATTTGGGAATCCGTAGATGGATGGCTAACACTCTGTTGCTCATGCAGTGAGTAGCTGAAAGCAAGTAGGACCAAGTAGGAGCTGGTACAATAGGCGAGAACCTTGGAAAGGGAACTTAGCACAAGCCAAGGCAGTGGAGGTCGGATAGACGAGGTAAGTTGGCAAATTAGAAAGGAAAAATTTGTGGCTTACAATTTGGTATCGGAGCCTTTTCCCCAGTTCTAGCGAAAGATAGAGGCGGATTGCTGGGAGATGGCAAGGGCAGGGCGTAAGCAAACCCAGGCGGAGACGGAACTTCCGCCGGAGCTGGAGCCTCCAGTCGAACAAGAGGCTATGGGTGAGGAATCCTTGCATGAGGAGGACTCTAGTGAGGAAACTTCCAAACAGGAGTCTGGTGGCGAGGTTCGGTCGTCCAAGGCTCGATTGAATGTGTTAGAAGGACAGTTGGCACAGACCAATGCCCTGCTGGAGACTCTCGTACGCAAGCTAAAGCGTGATGAAAAGCAGAAGAAAAAGAGAAAGACTGCGGATGCTGGCAGCACAGAAGGTGCAGACCCTTCAGCAGGGACTGAGGCAGAACCAAACAAGGTCAAACAGACCGAAGTAGAATCAGTCCCTCAGGCAGTTCCCAAGTACAAACCAAAGCCCCCACCGGTCTTCAAGGGAGTGAATGACTATAAGGTGGTGGAGGATTGGTTTTACGATATAGAGGACTACTTCCGAGCGTTGCGATTACCGAGCTCGGAGAAGGTCCCATGTGCAAAACCATACTTGGAATATAATGCCAAGTCTTGGTGGAGAACGACGGAGGCCAACGAAGGACCAGTGGCCACTTGGGACATGATGAAGGCGAGGATCCGTGCAACATACATTCCTCCGAATGCCACTCTACATCTGAGAGATGAGTTGAGTAGGCTGAAGCAGACTGGAACCATCCAGGAATATGTGAATGGGTTCATGGAAAAGACGATACTTGTCACGGACATGGGGGATATGGATGCGTTCCATGCCTTCATATCAGGTTTGCAAACCTGGGCTCGCGGTGAGGTGATGTGCTGAAACCAACTACAAGGAAGTGTTGGATGCGGCCATCAAGGTGCATTTCAATGATAACCTATGAAAGGGGAACACGACGGGGTCGGGATCCATGTTTAGCAAAGGGGCCAATCCAAGAGGAACGTATAGCAGAGGGAAATTCAAGAAGAGTTTCTCTAAGAATGAGTCTTCGGGGTTCCGGAAAGGCAAATTCAGTGCCCAGCAAGCGAGTACGTGGGGGAGTCAAGCGAAAAAAGACAAACCCACGGATAAGAAGGTCAAATCGTATAGCAGCGTGGGAAACAACATATGCTACAACTGCGGTGAAGCGGGATACTTTTCGAGGGAATGTCCCTACTCGAAGAAGGCCAGAGGCCAGAATATAGTCATCAAGTCGGGTGAAGTCCAAATTGAGGTATGTGATCTAATCCCTAACTCAAAGTTACTCATTACACGAGCAACTTTGGTAGAGAGTCGTTCGCGACATCTACTAGCCCTTCGAAGGAAGCTCAGAGGTAGCTTTGTTAAGATCCTTATTGACACGGGTGCTTCGGATAATTTTGTGGCTGTAGACATAGTCCGGCAAGCCGGACTAACGGTGCAGCGGCTAGGCGAACCAAGGACTATAGAGTTTGTTCAAGGTAACCAAAGCACTGATGAGGTACTTCGACAAGTGAGAGTCGAAGTAGGGACATGGAAAGTAAACATGGATTTCACTGTGCTAGACATGGCGGGATTTGACGTGATCTTTGGAATGGATTGGTTCAATCGGTTCGTGGTAGCCCTGCATGGACAAGGTAGGAACCTTGTGGTACTGGCGAATGCCCAGGAACAGGAAAGTGAGTATAAAAGCCGAGTGTCCGATTACAAACCTCAGAGTGGATATGAAGATGCTCTTCCAAGGCTACAGCCGCTTCTTTGCACACATCAGCTGCATGGCTTACTGTTTTCAATGTTTTCAACACCACTTGGCAATACCTTCGAAGAGAAACCTTAAGGATACAGTTAAAAATCACTACCAACCTTAAAGCTTCATTTATCTTTCCAGCTTCAGCAAGCATTGCCGCATAAATAAGCTTGTATGGCTGAAAAGGAAGTAAAATAAACTGGGAATTGCCAGTCACTCTTGCAAATTCGTACACTTCCATTTGCTGATGAAGAAAAGGTTAACAATTGTTATTGAGGACAAACACAGCTTACCTGGATAGTTTCTGGACTAGCGTACGTGCATGGATACTTACAATGGTCGGCATCTATAAGACAAAGTCTGGCAGAAGGGGAAAGGCTCAAAACTAGCATTTGCAACAAGATAGCAAATATGGGCTCCACATATCTGCAAGTTAAAACTATGAGAAACATGAAAGTGTGACCATGTATATACCTCATCTTGATGTCTCCAGAGACAATCACCAAGATGCATAATCACTCTCTCGTCCCCATTAGTTCGGTTAGCTGCCATTATAGCCAGGTTTTCCTGCCATTCTTCAAGCATTCCTTCTACTGGGTCCTGCAAGTCAACATGCACTCCTTAAGCAAGAGAGTAGCTTGATAAAAGTATTTTACCTGTGTTGCACCATCTACAGCAGATGCTGGAACCGGTTGAGGTTGAAGCGCTATTATGTAGCTAGAACCAAGGACATATTTGTTCCCGTCGTGTAGCACCATGAGACAAAACAGCTTTTGTACTGCTGCTGAAACCCTGGTTGAGCCATCTCCGCTGTAGTGTCGGTGTAGACCTATTAAAAACCACAAGACCATCACTAACGGTCTATACATCAAAGCTACAAGACAAGGTACCTTCTCTCGGCCATAAGAAGAGCACATCCCCAAAGTTGCCCGTCTTGAGCAGCCCGTAAAGCCTCTTTCTGCTTTCCGGCAATCAGTAGCCTTTTCACCTCAAATGCAGTTCATCGACGCTGCGACACTTGCCATACATCAGGACGAGCAGATTCGCGAGGTATTCGTTGCGGCGGTGCTCGCTCTGCGCAATGCGGGCGTGGATTTGCCTCCCCTGTGACAGATCCCGGCAGTTCTGAGCAGTGCTCCCCAGGAGAGCAAGCAATCCTCTGAGGTGTCTGTGGAAATCACGAATTGGGGAAGAGCAATGCCATAAACTTTGCTGGATCTCACACACATTCGCGATTCGCGAGGTATTCCTTGCGAGAATCCGAGAATCCTGGACGGAGAAAGAACATTCCAATCTAGCTTGGGCTAAGAAGAAGAAGATAATCCATCTTGCCTTGCAAGAACAAGGACACCCTGGAAGAAGCAAAGATTTTACTCTCTGGTGACAATTCCTCTACTCCACTGGGCTTATAAGATTGGCTCTCTCCTCCATTCTCTATAGCAATGAATTTCCATCTCTCTTTCTTGCTCCTCGAGATAGTGTTCTTGAGAGCTGTCGCCCTAAATTCGCCCCCACCGCTCCCTCTCCTATGGCGCCAGCTCCAGTTCCACTCGCGCCGCCTCTCGATGTTCTTCCACTTCGGCGTCAACACATTCACGGACTCGGAGCGTGGATCCGGCCACGAATCGCCCTCTATCTTCAACCCGGAGCGATTGAATGCGTCGCAGTAGATGGACGCGGCCCAAGCCGCGGGCGCGCAGCTCGTGATCCTCACGGTCAAGCACCACGACGGGTTCTGCCTGTGGCCCTCGGCCTACACCAATTTCTCCGTGGCTAGCAGCTCTTGGCGAGGAGGGAAGGGGGATGTGGTGGCCGAGTTCGTGGCCGCCGCCAGGGAGCGTGGATTGGACGTGGGCTTTTACTTCTCGCCATGGGATTTGCACGAGAGCTGCTATGGCGACACTCTTCTCTACAACGAGTTCTACTTGGCTCAGCTCCGAGAGGGTGAGTGAGACATTCTTTGCTTCTTCTTCACGCATTTTTCTTGGTGGCATGATCACTGTGTGATACGTTTGCATTTCCTCCAGCCCATCAAACGGTTTTAGCATTAGGAGCTCGCGAGCTTGTGGGCTTTTGTAGTTTTCATCTCTAGCAGCAGATGCCTTGACGCGGCATTTTGTTTTGGCGTGCAGATATGGGCCGATCTCCGAGGTGTGGCTGGATGGTGCGAAATCACCCACTGCAGTGAACATGAGCTACGATTTTGAGCTCTGGTTTGACACGATTCATTCCCGGTGCTAACATCTTTTCCGATGCTGGGCGATGGCGAACAGATCTTCCATTACGATCGGCAGGAGCGATGGCCAGTACGTAAAATCCATCCTTCCATGAAACCTTCGTTCTCGTGAAACTCGATCCAATTCGCAACATCAACAGGTACTTGATGTCTGGAGAGAGTGCTGGAACCGACTGGCTCCCTCCGGAGTGCGATATCTCCATCAGGCCCGGTTGGTTTTGGCACAGGAACGAGGCTCCAAAATCCCTGGAGCAGCTGCTCGACGTTTTCTATAAATCATCCACCAGGAACTGCTTGCTCCTGCTGAACGTCCCTCCAAACTCGTCAGGACTGATCAATGAATCCGACTTCCAGACGCTGGAGCGGTTTAGCTCCGCCATAGATTCCATCTTCAGCGTCAACTTAGCAGGGAATCCCTTGTCCGTGACAGCAAGCAGCATTCGCAGCTCTTCGTTCGGGCCGAAGAAAATCCTTGACGAGCATATGGAAACTTTCTGGCTCCAATGCAAGGGGAGTCGACTGGCTGGATCGAGCTTGATCTTGGCAAGGTCTCAAAGTTCAACGCACTGGAGATCCAAGAGCCAGTAAACATGGGACAAAGGGTCATGGAATATCTCGTCGAGGCATGGGACAGCGAGCTGGGCTGGTACCTGGTGAGCAACGGTAGCACCATTGGTTACAGGAAAGTGGATCGACTGGAAGAGGATCAAGTATGCGCTGCTCGCCTTGTTCAACTGCTGATTGATGCGTCGGAGGGAGATCCATTGATCTGCTTCTTTGGTTTGTACTTTGATATGTACAACCTTAGGCACTTGTCTTCTATTTAGAAGAGAAACTACAAGAGGATATGTATATTTCATGGATACAGTTTTCAGGTATGAGAAACATAGCTTTGGGTTGGAAATCCCTGGCCTGATCAATAACAGTCTCTTTGCATCACTCCTAATAGATTGGAGCCTAGAGAACAACCAAAAAAAATCAAGAGCTAGCCCTCTATCATTTGAGCTCGTGGAAAGTACCCTTGCATGGGGGTGGCAGCTGGTTAAATTTGAGAAGTTAGCTCGTCTGGAGGATCTTCTGTTGCTCCTGCTTCATCACCACAAAATCACACTTGCAAACATGAATGACTATAAGGTGGTAGAAGATTGATTTTACGATATGGAGGATTATTTTTGAGTGTTTTTATTATTGAGTTTGGAGAAGGTCCCATATGCTAAACTATACTTGACAGATAATATTAAACTTTGGTGGAGAACAATAGAGGTTAATAAAGGATTAGTGGCCACTTGGGAAATGATAAAGACGAGGATCCGTGCAACTTATTTGAACTGGTAATTCTTAGAATTAAAAGGTTTGAAAATAAATTAGAACTTCTTTTTACCGAAACCGTCAGTCAACTATACAACATGATGACCAGTATTAAAATGTTTTTAATTTATAAACACAAAATTATTCTAAATAAATATCAATAATTAAATTATAGAATATTCAAGAATACCCAGGTATATTCTATGCTGGTTTGCTTAAGCAAACCAAAAAATATAGTGCCTAAATTGAAGAAACACTCAAAGGTGTAAATGACTATAACTTAACTGAAGCCATAAAAGATAGGTATTGTGGAAAATAAAGAATATAAATATAACAAAATTGATATGTGTGCAAATACTAAACAGGTCATATATCGCCCCCCAGAGGATCACGTTTCGGTGGACAATCTCCTGAAAGACATCCTCCGCCTCCTCCATGAATCCATTCTCCACAAACATGACGAACATCACTGAGCGAGTGATGCTGTTCTTCTCGGGCATGGAATCAAATGCGGCCTTCACATCGCCCACTCACCCGCACTGTGTGAAACCCTGCACAAGGATCGTCCATGCTACCACATTCGTCTTGGGCATCCAATCCAGCACCTCTTTTGCTCGCCCAATCTCTCCGCCGCGAGCAAATCCCCACAACACGTCTTGCAGTTCCTCTTGGGCATCGCATCAAACACCGCCTTGCTCGATCCAATCCGCCCGCAATCGCCCAGTGCCTTGACCATCCCAGTGGAGGAAACTATGTCCCGCACCGCCATTCGATCGAACGCTGCCTTGGCCTCGCCCGGATGCCCACTCTTGGCATATGCACTCGCGAGCGCCATCCATGATGCAATGTTCTTGGCCAGAAATGCATCAAAGATCCTTCTTGATTCCTCCAAATGCCCACACCACACATAGACAACCAGTGTTTCCATACATAATATCTATACTGATGACTTATGATTAGTAAACACAAGTCATAAAGGTCAAGTACAAGAGACTTTCTATAATGAAACTTCAAACAATTAAACACTGAATAGAGGAAATTGCTAAGCCAAAGTCCACCAAGATCATCACATTTATACTATTTATGACTCCAGCAAAAACAAACATAAACTATTCATCCTCCATTAATTCTATATTGCATGTTGTGCTATTATCTATAAATGTCAAAAGAGCATAAGAATATTTTTTAGCATGACACAAGTTCTAATGTTATGTCCCCATCCATCACATTCCTCACATCATGAACAACAATTGTGTTATGACATGGAACAAAAAGTCAACAATCTAATTTTCCTAGACTAAACTATGCCTTTTCTTGAGGTTCCTTACCACCTAACCACCCCCAAGCTACTTCAAAAGCTCCTCTACACTGCCCCTCCACTGTGAGCCCTAGGGTAGGTTAAATTCTTTACCCTAACATGCCTTCATAAACCCTTGAGCCTCCCTTTGACTGACATTGACCACGTGGTCAAAGTTGGTGCTTAACAATTCTTCCCCTCAACAAAGTCCTTGTCCCAAGGACAAGTTGTACTAGTGATCACCCTTTCTGAAGAACCCTGCTCCAGCTCCTGATTCATCTTCCATAGCCATATACATCAAAGAGGCATTGGGCCTATCACTCTGAGATAGTACACCTTTCAATTGGCTAACATAAAATACCGGATGAACTTTCACCTTAGCTAGCAGCCGCACTTGATAAGCCACCTTATCGATGCGCTCCAACACTTCATGTAGACTAGCATACCGATGAAAAAATTTATCACTCTTCCCATTCCGCAAAGGCACTAAGGTGTTCCACTACTCACTTGACAGAAAGATCATTCACATAAAGATAAGATCACCCACCTTATATTCTCGGAATTAGCAATGCTCATTAACAAACTTCTCCGCTTTATCCTGAGTTGCTTGCAAATTCCATTTGCACACTACCAGAATCTTATCAAGTTTTGTGGCCAAATCAATCGCCTTTGAATCAAGCTTTTCTTGAACATCCATATTTAAATGTTCAACTCCACCATTGTTCAAGGATGCCTTCCAAACATGGCAAAGTAAGGACTTAGCTTGGTTCCACTGTATTGGCTATTGTTGTAGGCAAATTGCACTAACGGAAGATATAGATCCTATTATTCCTGCCTTTGACCAATGCTATAACATAGCATATCCTCCACCACCTGATTCACATGATTAATTTGCTCATTCATCTAAGAATGATTTCCACTCAAGAGTTTCAAAGTCACTTGCATAGCCTTTGCAAAACTCTTCCAAAATCCACTAGTGAACTTTGAATCTCGATTGCTAACAATGTCCTTTAGCAAACCAAAATCAGAAAAAACTTTCTCCAAGTAAACCGCAGCCAAGTCTAAGGCAGTGACAGTCTTCCGAAGAGCCAACAACCGCATATACTTTGTCAAACGATCCATTATGACCCATACTTGCTCCTTTTGTCTCTGTGTTCGTGGCAAACAAATGATGAAGTCCATAGAGATACTCTAAGAAATAGGTAAAGGTTGCAAAAGTCCCCCCGACTTCTCCCATGGCACCTTTACCCGCTGATAAAGCTCACATGACTTATAGTACTCGAGGATATCAGCTTCTATATTCCTCCAATAAAAATTGTGCTTAATCAACTCATATATCTTCTTCCCTCCAAAATGACTGGCCTTTGGACAATCATGATAGTGAAATAAAACTTAAGTAATTAATGCATCCACCTGTGGCAAATACACATGGCTATTGTAGTAAAGAATCCCATCCACCAATGAGAAAAGTGCTTCCATCTGGGCCTTGCAACAAGACCACCTCAGCATCTTGCACTTGAGCACACTCAACCAACTACCCAAACTCGTTAACCACTTTACTTAAATGATGACAAAACCGTGTTTGTAATGCCATCATATGGCAAACATGAGATAAAGCATTTGCCACCACATTCAATTTTCCCAAATGATACTCAATAGGAAACTCCCCAAACTCCATGAGTTTGACCATCCAACAAGCTTGCCTAGTGTTCAACTCCTTTTGTATGAAAAGATATATATAAGGGGTATGTGATCCGTCAACACCGTGAACACTGCACCATAAAGATAATGTTGCCATGTCCGCAAAGCATGAACTATGGAGAGTAACTCTTGTTCATATGTGGAATAGTGTTGCTCCGCGGGATTCAAAGTTCAATTTTCATATGCAATAGGCTATCCCTTTTGCATGAGAACTCCTCCCAGTGCCTAACCACTCACATTACAAGTCACCTCATAAGGTTTTGATGGATCAGCAATGGGAATCACTAAAGCCTCACTCAACAATCGTTTCAATGCCACAAACTATCCTCATGTGGCTTCTTCCACACGAATGGCACGTTCTTGTGCAAAAATCGTGTCAAAGGAATAGCCACCTCTGCAAATTTATGTTGAAAATATCGGTAGTAACTAGCATACCAAGGAAATTGCATAACTTAGCCACTGAAATCAGTGTAGGCCAATTCTCCACCATAGCCACCTTCCTTGGATCCGTCTTGACACCCTTGGATGTCATAATATAGCCTAGATATTCCACCTCTGACTTTCCAAACTCACATTTGCTCTTCTTCACATAAAGTTTGTTGTCACGGAGTAACAAAAGAACCTTGTACAAATGCACCTTATGCTCCTCCATATTTTTGCTGAAAACAAGAATATCATCTAAGAAAATCTCCACAAACTCATGAAAATAATGCCTAAAGACCTTTGTCATCAACTGAGTAAATGTGGCTGGTGCATTTGTCAAACCAAATGGCATAACCGTAAACTCAAAATGCCCGATACTCGTGTTGAATGCCATCTTGGAGATAGATGCATCATCCATGGCAATTTAATGATATCCACTCTTCAAACCAATCTTAGTAAACACTCTTTCTTCACCAAACTTGTCTAAGATATTATCCACATGCGGCATCGGCATCTTGTCCTTCACGGTCTTCTTGTTCAAGGCACAGTAGTCAATACACATCCTCATTGAACCGTCCTTCTTCTTCATAAGCAAAACCGGAGCACTAAACAGAAACTTACTTAGTTGAATAAATCCAAACTCAAGTAAGTCCCTGATTTGTTGTTAAACTTCTTGCTCCTCAGCATAACTCAACTAAAATGGACACTAGTAAATTGGCCACATCCCTGGTTCTAACATAATTTTATGCTCCACACCTCATAACGGAGGCAATCCATGAGGAAGTTTAGAGGGAAAAACATCGGAGAACTCTTCGAGTATAGTCCGCACTACTGCCTTTCCTCCACATGTGGTTTGGTCCCCCAAGTCACGAACAAACAGCAAGTAACTCAAAAGTGCTTTTCCATTACGACAAACCTGCTTCAAAAATGTAGCAGAGAGCATAACAACTAGAGGTTGAACTCCCTCTCCAAACCACACATCTTTAATGCCACTATATTTCAACGAGACATACTTAATATTCCACTTTATCTCCAAATCCACCTTCACTAACCATGGCATCCCAAGAATGAGATCCACATGATGAAGATCCATGAGATAAAAAGTCTCCACAAGTGTGGGTTTGCCAACCAACACTTCTAGCCTTTCTACACAAGTATCGAAATGCTGAGTAGAGATAGTTGCACTTTCTACCGTATATGGAAGAACTCC